TATTATAAATCTATTTGTAAAATGAAAAATATATAGAAATCAAAATTAATTATACTCGTGAGCGTATCTAATAATATTGTTGTTCATTTTTATGATAGTTTAATTTTAGTGCTAGTTGTGATTATATCACCAAATAAATTTTATTGCTAAACTATTTCGAATGTAAACACTTTAAAAGATTTTAACAACCCTAATTACGATTAGATAATAAGTTTGACTAACCTCACTGCATGCATAACACGTTATCGTCATCACTGTCACTTTTTACCTAATTTTAACTTTTTAAATTGCGTAGTTAGTGCTTTGATAGGAAGTAGATTTTAGAGCTTAAACTAATTTAGTTTCCTCTTTCAAATTTCTAAACTAACCATAATCCATACTTGCAATCTTAGCCGATGTTAAAACTTATAACAAACCTAAATTAAAACAAAAAAAAACTCTCAAAGAAACGAGAAACCTTTTTACCTTTCCTTCCTTCCTTTTCATCGCTTGAAACCTTTGGCTACAGCTTGTAGTGTAGGCTAAGATTTAGATTAGAACAATGTCTGTGGAACATATCTGGAAAGAAGACTGTGTCAATTATGTTGAAACGTAAAATGTTAAGATACTGTCTCTGGAACAAAACTGTTTAATCTTTAATCGTGTTCATAAGTTTCAAAGTTATTTATGACATAAATCTGTAATATAACTTCAATATTTTCAAGGTAAGTGTATTTTTATGTGTTTTAGTAGTAATATACATTGCGTACGTTGACCAAAATTAGTGTTGATCGAGGGAGCATATTACCTTAAATAGAAAGCTAAATGCCATCTTGCATTACAGTGTTATCTAAATTTCAATTGGTAAAGGAACGGTAAGGACAGTTATTTACCTAGCATAGTTTCCAACATTTACCTGCTGAATGGTAAATAACATTTTAATATATAAAAAATAAAAATAATGTGCTTTATCCTTGAAAAGTATTGCTCAAATATATTGCCACTGATCAATTATATAGTAGGTATTTTACTTCAAGTTCTTTAAAAAGGGGTTATAAATAAAGACAACAAAACGCTGTGTGTAAAAAATATATTTTAATCCTTTACAAATTTTACATATAGAGGAGTTGAAGTTGAAGGGTTTGAAGAATCTGCTACGGTATATTATTTGGCTTCAATACCTTTCAAGGAGGTATACTAACACTTTTTTTATTACACTAGCTTGATTCAGTAACTTAGTTTAATATAGGTTTATTCTATCTAATAACTATAATTTTCTTTCCAGATATGTTATCATTGATTACTTTCACAATCTGTCGTTAGTGTCTAAAAATAGTAGGATTACCATAAAGCAATTTTATGAAACTGTTTAGTTACATTTTAACCGCCACTAAGTGTTTATACGTACGGTACTAAAAAGATTTTTTTCTTAAATGAATACTTACCGTGGCATTTAGAACTATTTTGAGTGAAAAAACTAAATTTTATTTACTGTAACATTAAGGATCACGTTTGGATTTCAAATAGCTTTATTATATTTTTTGTAATTATTAAAAAGTGTTTACAAAGTCTAAAGAAAATTGATTTAAGTTTAAATCAATATGAAAAGTTTAAAATTTTTTACGGACAGTACCAAATCTGATGAACCAAAAAGAGGAAATATTTAACTATTATTCCTCTTAAGGTTTTATCATAAATAAAACTGTCTGTATTGTTTAACTGGTGCTTGAAATGCTGATCGGCTTTGCTTTTTAGCTTTGCCTCTTCACGCTTTGGCTTTTCTCTACTGGTCCTATATTTTGCACTGGTCTACTCTATGTGTTGGTACTTGTTTATTGCTGTAAAACATGTGAAGGCATTGTACAGTGTATCATATTTTTTGTTAAAGCACAATTTTAAAGTCCACTGTTGACTAATAAATAAACCCCAGAATATTCACAAAAATTGTTAAATTAAAACAAATGTTTAAAAATCATATAAATTGAATGTTGAAAATTGTAGGTACATTATATAAACGACAAAACTTTATAACAAACAAACAATTCACGATTTTCTTTTTTAGTTCTGAAAACGTAACTGCAAAAAATTTTAAAAAACCTTTTTATTTTGGTAAAAAAAACCAAATATGTATATTACATGTTATTTGAATCAACACATTTATCGTATGGGGGATCACACCGTTGCATGCAAGTTGATGAACCCAAATAAAGAAAGATATACGGAACCGGATTGATAAATTCTTAAAATAAAATATACTTCAGAACTGTTCTGTAATCGGTTGTACCTTAAACTAACATTAAACTGTTTCAGTAGCTTAAAATTAATAAAGGACAAGCCGTATTTTTGTTTTATTTAGTTTTCCATTCGTGATTGTCAAGAAACTATTTTAATTTACTAACAATAAAATATAATTGTTGTTAAATTGTTAATTAGGGTACACGGACACAATAAAATAATAATTCTATAAAAGATATTTGATCCTATGATTTCAAACCGATCGAGCGAAAACCATCTTTTAAAAGATCAGTTTCTATTCAAATATTGTCTCATAAAATATTTGATTGTACAACCCCAATGTATCCTTCAATTTTATTACATTTAACACAAACTTGTATGAGACTATTGATTATTTTATGATAATTAATTATTTGGAAACTATAATTTAAACACGATCCACATATAAAACACTTTAATTTGTATGCATACTTTTGATTTTATGTTACAATTGCAATTTAAAAGACAAATTTATATTCCGTAAACCACCCTTAAAAAGGTTTGTCATTCTTTAGAACAATATATGCCTTGTATTTTTAAAGATAAACTAATACTTAGGTAATATAAATAAATACCACGCTACAAAACACATGAATAAACAATGGCTTAAAAAACGACAGTTAAAATCTAATAAACAGACGACTCAAAAAGTGTAATAAGAACAAAGAGGCCCCCGGCTAGCAATATTGTTTTGGGTTCTGTTCCAGTATTTTAGGGATGTATCTGTTTGGCGGTAAGTTTTGCATGCTCAGCGACGGATCGAGAGAATGCAGCTGTGAGGAAATCGTCAACAAAGATCCAAAATGTGTCTGTGACAGAAAGCATTTTAACAATGTCCTTTGGGCCACCGTGACAGTGTTTCAGGTAAGTCGACACTTCCCACTCTACACTTTCTCTCTACATCTTACTCCTCACAGTAGACTTGCCCGGAGTTTGGTCCAAAGGATTATAAGTCACGTGACTTGTGACATCACATGTTGATAATTGTGTGAAGTGCATAGCATCAGCAAATTTGAGTATCACATGCATATTTTCGGTCTTAAAATTGTACAGTGCCTATCAATGTAAATTTAGATAGATTTTATGCGTGAACACATTTTGTGAATTTTATAGACTTGTTTATAGTTTATACCGAGCGTACTAAATATCAATTAAATTTGTGAAGTTCATTTATTGCTAACTAAATTATATATATACATATATATACATATACATATATATATATATATATATATATATATATATATATATATATTACTGTAATCTTATCATCTAAATATTTGTTAATAGATAAAAAACAAAGAATATTAAGAAAATATATATTACTCTAATTATAACTATAAAAATTATTTCATCCTAAGACTTTTAATATATGTCAGCAGTTACAAACATTTCTACATTTATTCCTAAATCCGTATTAAATGTAAATTGAATACTTAACTTATGTTATTTTCACCAGTAATGACAGCTAGGTTTTCCGATAGTTGTCCGTACACACGATAAAAATATATGAATAAATAATGATTTATTATAATCAAAATATGGCCAAACTGTTGGTAAGTTTACCACATGCATAAGCTATATACATGCACTTATAAATATATTTGATGTGAAAGGCTGTTTCATTTAATTTTGTAAATTAGTTATACATTTTCGTAATATTTTAAACACAGTCTAACAAATTATCTAAATTTCCTTTATAGTAATCTTTGGAAACAAAATAAAATGAGGATACTGATAGATTTACCTTCACATCTACTAAGTTAGCTTATTGTACACCATTTTGTCATTTTTAAGATGTTACATGACAGCACTCATAAAAAAAACATTGAACACTTCCATAATGTAATTATTGTGTACATACACGGTTTGATGTAATATTGTGAAAGCATTCTGGAAGGTATGTTTATCAGATAAGTACTATGCATGAAATTAGGTCCTTTAAAATTAGTGCATGGCTTAATTAAAGTTTTTTATATTTAAATTTAACTAGTTGTAGTTTTGAATGAATGACACGATTGCTCTTACTTATGTAGGTATAGTGTAAATTATGTATATATTTGAAAATTTGTGTCTCGCAAATTATGCAATACATAAGTCTTTATATGTTCATGTTCAAAGTCACTTTTCTGTAACGGTCAGATTTAAGTACATAATTTTTGTAACTAATCATTACGGAAAAGGGTTATCGTTAAGAGAAAGGTTCATGTAAATACATGCCTTTTCCAAGTTGTATATATCTTGGTTGTAATGGGCAGGTTTCTGCAGGCTGCAGTGTCATTTGTATGTTGGATTTATTTAGGTGTACGATTAAACAATTGTACGCATGAAGTAATTTTAGCTCAAACTCACAAGTAATCATTTATTATTACAGTCAAAAGTATAAGTAGGTACGGTACATATTTTTGGAAGAGTATAAGCAGAATTGTAATCATGGATCATGGATGTACTAAAACAGTATAACACTTACAACTTATACAATAAATTACTGATTGGAATGTTGCCTAATCTTTATAGTGCTGATTTATGGGATCTAAAAGGCAATAATTTTATGATAGATTCACTTTGAACACCGGTAGCCCAATTACATAGAGATCATTAACGTAGTGAAATTTAAAGGTGATTATAATAAATTACATTTTGGAAAACTAAATTAACTTCACGACATTGTCAAATTTTACATTCAATACCGTACAAAGTGAATAATGCTGAGATTCAGGTCCGATTATATGTATTTTTTATGATAGATTCTCACCCAAGAGGATTGGAATGTTGTCCTCTTCAACGGTATGGAAAAGACAAGTCACTGGGCAGCATTGTATTTTGTGGCGTTGATGACGTTTGGAAACTACGTCTTATTCAACTTGCTGGTCGCCATCTTGGTGGAAGGATTCTCATCGGAGGTAAAATTCGTAATATTTATTCTAAGCTGTGTGCTCTTTGGACATAACATTCAATCAAACCACTGTATGTTCATTATGTGAACAGTTTAGGTGAAAATTAAGAATATAAAACATCTTACTACAAGTATAATGTAATAAAAACACATTATTAGTTTGACAATGAATGAGGTTTGCTCTGATAAAAATACATTCCTAAAACATTGGTTGTATACACTATTGATGCAAGGCCGCATGAAGTAGGGTGAACAGATAAGCAGTAATCAACGAGAAGAACGCCAGTACTGATGAAAAGTGAGTGTGACCCCTTGCATTCATGGCGAGGATAATTTTTTTATGTTTCTCCTTCGTAAATATTAACATTAAATGTATTAAGTTGTGTAAATCTGTGAAATCTATAACATTGTTAATATTTTTCCCTAAAGAGTGAGAGTCGTCTCTAAAGATGTCATTGATAGAGCTGCAATCCAGCCACATAGGGTGGTAACACTATTTGAGCTTCATCACAATATCGAACATAGTTTTATCCATGTATTACTGTCCAGTACTGCTGGTTGTCTAGCAAATGTGTGGTCTATGTTCATACGTAATCCATCGTAAAACTTGACACGTACTAACGTAAGCCGCTTGTTACAAGCGTAACGAGAGGAGAGAACGTGAACAACGGGAGCTTGCTAAGGCTCAAGCCGCCGCTGCAGCCAGGAAGTACTCCGAGTGCTACAGTGACGACATATACAGCTCCTGTTCTGCATCGGAGAGCGACAGTTTCCAACAGGTCAGTCATAGATTATACTATCAGTGTCACAGTACACTTTAAGATTACATCCATGTTTTACATCTCCTTTGTTTGGTACCATTCTTACTGATTCTACTAAGAATGTTTTAAGCACTTAGTGCTTAGCACTACAGCAACGAGATGTACAGCTACAGCTCCGTTTCAGAGACCGATAGTTTCCAATATACAAAGATTGAACTATGTATTTCATGATACACTATATGTGTCATAATGTATAATCTGTGACACACCACACTTCCCGGGTCATAGTACATGTGGTGATATTAATTCTATATTTTTCATCCATATCCTTTGTATAGTTTTATTCTTTTATTTTCAATTTAGGTCACATGTTCAGTTACCAGTTTTGCTTCCATGATTGTAGTATAGCTTGTATAAAACAAGTTAGTTCAGTTGTGTGTGTAGTTAACTAAAGGAATTTGAAGACTGTCTGTATTCCTTATTAAAATAATTAATACTTGAAATTGTAATTTGACGTGGGTTACCCTTTCTGCTTCACATTGATTTAAATGTACTGTATCTTGTATAATCTTTTGCTATATTCTCGGAAATTCTACTGTAAACCCATCCATAGCCTATGAAATGAAACTACCAAGATGTTTTCATAATACATTATTGATTAATCTTACACTATAAAACGAAATTGCCATTATTCACAATAATACTATACCACAATGGTGGTTTTTATGGATGCTACTAGTTTTTATGCTATAGATTAATGACATTCACACCTTCAGAAGACTGCTACGGGGTTCGAAATCAAATTTTTATTACTTAGCTCTAAGTGCTGATTAACATGTTACATGTATTAAAATGTTACTCTTATTGATGATGTGGTTTTGATATTTTAGTTTTGTTATTTAAAAGTTTGTTTCTTTAGGAATACAAAAACGAGTGGGAGACGGAACATACTAGAAAGTCAAAGGACAATGGGCACAGAGAAAAGGAGAACTGCTGGAAACAGAAACGGAAACAGAACAATGGGCAGTGTGAAGCAAAGTGCAATATACAAAAAGGTAAGTTACAATGTAATGTTGGAGAGGTAAAATAACCCAATTACCAAGATTATTATAATGTACCGTACAGTGCTAAAGTCTGTCGTTGGTGTTTGACAATGTTGCACCGGGCTGTTTTTATTGATATGTTAATAACAAAGGTGTAAACATAAACATTCTGCAGACGCTCCATTATGAATTAGTGCTATGAATAACGGCGGTTTATCAGGCCGAGTCTGCAACGTTGCCACTTTGTCTCACTGCGGCCTTGTATTAGAGGAAGCTATCTGCAAGTAGGCTTTCCACCTATATCTATATCTATATCTATATCTATCTATTCTATCTATCTATATCTATCTATATCTATTCTATCTATATCTATATCTATATCTATATCTATACTATTATATAAAAATCTAATGGTGTATGTCTGTATGTGTGTTACTAATAGGTGCAAAAACTACTGAACCAACTGGGCTTAAATTTTACTAAAATATAGCTAACATACCAAGGACCATTATAGGACTATTCACATTTCAATACTGACCGTAGGCTTTGCCCCTTTGGCTTTAACAGTTCTGAGGTGAGGATTCTAAAAGTAAATATTGACATGGCTGCGATTAGAACACTAATAATGATTGTTTTATTTGCTTTGACATTTCAATGTAAACAAGAAGAAATGCTAAATTGCATATTTCACAATTTCAGACAGCTGATACAAAGAAGTTAAATATAATATTTTCCATAACTATGAGATAGGTTTATTTTTATCTATCTAACGTTTTATCATGGATTATTTATTCTAAAACTGTCAATGATTATAGAAAAAAAAGATTCTATAACTTGCTGTATCAACTCCAGCTCTGCTTTGGATTTTTTAAAGCGTCTCACTCGTCTCAGCTATGAAAATAATGTTATTGATATGTTTTCATGGAAACAGTATGGAAATTACAATGTATAGATGTTTTGTATGAATTTGGAGGCTACTTTAAATAAATTCGAACTGCTTAACATGTGTTATATTAACTAAACATAACATGCACATCACATTGTTTTTTATATGTATATTTATGTAAATTTAGTGATTGTGTTTTGCTAAACCAAAAGTTTGTTAAATTAAACTAAAGAATATCATCAATAACTTAATTGTACGTCATTGATTTTTGTGTTCTAAAATCTGTTTTATATGTGTAACTATATTAAATTATCGAATGGTAATACAAAATACTCTTATTTTATCTTAACATCGCTTTCAGTTCACATTTAATTTATTTGATAAATTTATTATTTGTGTTTTGCCACACCACTGATTAAATTAAACCAAGGAAAATATCATAAAACTAAGCAGTACAGAGCGTTCTTTTGTTTATAAAATCAATGAAATATCTGTTACTATGTTTACTTAATGGTAAGTGTGAAAATTTAAAGGCAATGGATGATGGAACTGATTAAAAGAACTGGTTTGTATATTAAGTTGTTTGTTGATATTTTTGTAGAGTATAATCAGAGATGCAATGAAACATACACTGTATTTGCTATTACATTTTTTAGTCCTCGCCACTTTGATAATCATATTAGTTTTGTCTGCTGTCTTTAATGCTAAATTATTTGTTTAAAAATGTTTATAGTATATAGTTTCTTTAATATTTCAAAAGACTGTATCGATAAGGCACAACAATATTTCTAAAGTTTATAACAACTGACTTAGTTTTGCTAATGATTTATTGTTAGTGAAGAAACTGAAGATGGAAGGATTTGTTATTTAATATAAAGAAGAGTGAAATTTAAAAAATCCCCATTTACATTTAATAATAAGTAATTTTTGCATCTTCAAAATTAAAAATTAAAATGTCAATAATAAATAAAAAGATATGTAATTAAGGGAGATGAAGGTAAATCGTATGTGAAAGTTTTATTCGAAGATTTTGTCTGTTTTTCTCATATCAGCCTACACAAGATTTAAAATTAATCAAAACCAAAAATAGTGGTATCCACTACTTACCAGATTTAAAAGTCATAACTTTTCTATTAAGGCCATAAAAGTTGAATTTTATTTCTAAAAGCTTTGGCGGATGTGTAATTATTATATGCAACAATTGTAAATATTAAAATGTTTATATTTAGTGTCCTCTTCCGGTTGCAAAGCACGGGTACAAAAGCAAGTATAAGTATCAAAAATCTGTAAGAAATTTAGCTATGCTTAATCAACTATTATATCAAGTTCTGTGTGTTTCCAGAGAGTCAGATGCTGGGAGCTTCTAGTGGAGTTGCTAGTGCAATGCCCATCATCACACATACAGCAGCAACTCCTCAAGACTCTCCAAACACGACTCTAGGCCATTCTCAGAGGGAATTCAACAACAGGCTGCAATCAGCTATTGCACTGTATTCTAGCTCATTGTCCATAGACTCAATTGACTGCTCTATTGTGAGTTTTTAACTTGACAAACATATTAAAAATCTGGAATCAAGCTAGACCTAAATTATGAAGTTTTCATCTCTTTTGCCAGTTAGATTATAAACAGCTCAAGCCCCTTTCAGGAAATAAATATTCAACAAAAACAGTAACTAAACATTTTATAAGTTGTCGTAATACCTAATGAAAGATGCTTTGGGAGGCTATAAGGAAATCTTGAGCAACTAACTATTGACTATTGCCAAATATCTGTTTTGGTTGATCTAAGGTACGGTATAGACCAATTCGTCCATGAAGGAGACTAAAATTGTTGACAAGAGTAATTATTTCCAACTAGTTAGCTAGTTGGATGCATCATAGTGCTCAAATACAGCTCAGCAATAAGGTCATCCAGAGATGCTTGTATTCCAATTATCACTCGGATATATGGATGCCTCTGAGATATACTTCGAACAATGCCTACACGTAGGCATCCTTATGATTACGTGTTTTATGTTTAATTGAAATAAGTTTTAATCAGGCAGTTGGTGTTAACCGAAGTTTGGATATTTTGCAGTCGTCCCAGGGCAGTGGATTGTTGAAACCTCCAAATTTGACCATCAATAATTTGAATCCTCAGGGGCCGCAGGTTCGCAGAAGTTCGCCGGCCTCTAATATGCAGAAGAAGGAACCGCTTCCCTTGTAAGTGTGTATTTTCTTTGGCAGACAGTTTTTGTGGCCAAGGGATTTATAGTTTTTTTTTTCTTTAGGGAGAGGAGGGAAAATGAATTTAAGCACACAGGTAGCCAGCCTGTAGTGTGAGACTCCTGAATTTATCACAGACTACTCACTAAAAAACCCCTCTACTCTGTCGGACACAGACCTGGAATTGTTTGTCACATTACTTCAAGTCAGGCCAACATGTGACCTAAGCTCTCAAGGCTCTCAACGTTTCTGGCATTTAGATACTTCATGACCTACGCCGCATCCCGGTCAAGGTCGAGCTTCTTGGCACGGAGAATAGTAATGTGACACACAGGTCCAATTGTCCTCACCATCATGGTCATCATCGGTATGACCATGTCCACCGACAGCAGTCCTACTGACTGTAGAGCCTCCAAGCGGGGCCTTTCCCAACGCTGGCAGTGGGAAAAGGTATGTTCCACTAAATCGGGAATGCCTGGGCAGTATATGCAATCGGGTGACACGGCTTTGCCCATCCTGAACAGGTATACGACCGGAAAAATCCGGGACCCATCAGAAATTGGGTGAGGTAAAAATCTACCTCTCCGCACCGCCAATTAACCCAAGGTTTTACTTGCTGTATCAGTAATGGGTTTATAGTAGAATCCAATTGTTTATAACTTTAGCCGCTCTTTAGTCACATCATAGTCATCGCTTTTCCTTCATCCAATCAATCTACACACACGGTAAATAATTATAAGATTTCCTATTAAGACTTCTCTGAATTTAATACCGGTAGCAGTTTTTTACCAAGTGTATACTTGATATTCTTATCCTGCTTGGAAACAATAACGTGTTGCGTGTTGTATTCAAAGATCGTTCAATGTCATTGTTCATCATATGAGTATTTTTCATGTTCAGATGTTTGTTGATAACACTGCTTATACCACCATTTATTAGCCTATAGTATGTCAGAAACTGAGCTTAGGAAATCTTAACTATTATTTTTGTTTAACTTATCAATAAGTTATTAGTGAAAAAAATTAAATAAGTTATAAGATACAACAGATTCCTGCAGGCATTTACCTCACAACAAGCAAATAATTATAAACTACCAGTAAAATCTAGATACAAAATATTATTTTTAGCATGTTTTTTAAGTAATATGTAAACATTTATGTTTTTTTTTATGAAAGTGATAAAACACTTGGAACTATTATAGAAAGAGATTTTGATCGTTTTTTATTCCATGTGTACTACAAACACACAAATTATGCACATTATACAAAATCAGGACAATATTTTATTTTTTAGAGCTCCAAGATTTCAAAGGGGTTATTCATGGAAGATTTCAAGGCCCTCTTTGAAGAGAAAGATGAAAAGTTCTTCTGAACCAGATGAAGATCAAGAGGTGGTGTTGAACAACAACAACCACTTGCTGTCTGGATCTCTGTAAGTGATTCAACATGGCTTTGAAAACATTATTATTTTAAAAAATACATTTTTAGAATATTAATCATAGGGACAGTTAGTCACCCTATTCACCTTGCATCTTGATGAAATAAATAAAATACAGTATTACAGTAACCATGCAATATGTCACGGCCACCGTTAACTCCACGTTTGTAGTATTATGTTGTTGATATTTCTGTCACTACCACGGCCATCTTTAACTCCAGGCCGCGGCCTTCAAAGTGGCAACATTGCAAGGTGCAAGTATAGGGTTGTAAAAAAAGCTGTTTTGTTTGGAGGCAGCTAATGGTATTTAAATACGTTTTTAAGAATACGAAAGCTTGGTTACTATGGGCTATAAAAATTTTTATTCCACTTTAAATGTATAAAAATTGATTTTAAATTTAAATATTGTTTTGTTTTTCAATTATATATGTTTTATTTGTAATCTTTTATTAAATTTATGTTCATAAATTTAAATTTAAATGAATAATACGTGAATTGATGAGCTGGTGTCACCTGCCATGTTATCTAATGGGACGTCTGGCGCTAGACAACACACTCCTTGCAACGTTGCCAATTCTACCAGAGGCCCATTTCATAATAAACTACAAGTTAGCCATGGTCTGAAGTTAAAGGTGGCCGTGGTCACTACTATAACACTTTTTTTTACATTTAGACCATTTATATGCATATGAGATATTTTAAGGGGGTGGATTTATAACCTGAAGAGATATTGTATAATGCTGACTAAGTTTGACAAGAAAACAGATTTTTTGAGCGGAGCGAGCGAAGCGAGCGAAGCTCTTATACGTCGACTTTTATGCATTTCGTAATACGCAAACTCCTCCTAGACGGCTGAATCAATCGTTTTCAAATTTTGCATGGTGATAAAGACCATATCGGTGAGTGCCAACATCTATATGGCGTTAAAAAAGTCTCTCAGGAATCCGTAGAAAAATGAAACTGAAAATCACATTTTTTTAACATTAGTCTTATGGGTTGCTAGGTAACCATGTTGGCTGAATTAAATAACAAGTAAAAAGTAAACAAAAGATTTGAAGTTTTAGCATGTGCTCATAATAAGCCAACTACCCACAGTATACTAGGAAATTACAAATACAGTACAAAAGGAAAAACATCACTTGTTAATATTGAGCAAAGATTATACTTAAGATTACTCGATACATTGCAGTCAAGGGTAGCAGTGCGAAGTCTAGGATCTGTTTATGACCAATACAAGGTATCTGCAATCCTAAAATGCTATGGGAAGGGAAGGAAACAGGTCCGTGACGTAGGAAGTAGTATAGGCAATCATAAAATGCTATGGGAATAGAGGGAAACAGGTCCGTGACGTAGGAAGTGATGAAGGAAGTAGTAAATGCGAGCAGTCCGGAGTGTGGGGACTGTTTATGACGATAAGATTAGGGTATCTGCAATCCTAAAATGCTATGGGAAGGGAGGAAAACAGGTCCGCAACGTAGGAAGTGGTGAAGGAAGTAGTCAAGGCGAGTAGTCCGGAGTGCGGGAACTTTTTATGACGATTAGAATAAGGTACCTGCAATCTTTAAGTGCAATAGGAAGGGAGGGAAACAGGTCCGCGACGTAGGAAGTGGTGAAGGAAGTAGTCAAGGCGAGCTGTCCGGAGTGTTGGAACTATTATGACGATTAGATAAGGGTATGGGCAATCAAAAATGCTATGGGAAAGGGAGGGAAACAGGCCCGTGACGTAGGAAGTGGTGAAGGAAGTAGTCAAAGCGAGCTGTCCGGAGTGTTGGAACTGTTTATGACGATAAGATAAGGGTATGGGCAATCCTAAAATGCTATGGGAATGGACGGAAAGAGGTCCGCGACGTAGGAAGTGGTGAAGGAAGTAGTCAAGGCGAGCTGTCAGGAGTGAGGGAACTGTTTATGGCGATTAGATAAGGGTATGGGCAATCCTAAAATGCTATGGGAAGGGAGGGAAACAGGTCCGTGACGTAAGAAGTGGTGAAGGAAGTAGTCAAGGCGAGCTGTCTGGAGCGTGGGAACTGTTTATGATGATTAGATTAAGGTATTTGCAATCCTAAAATGCTATGGAAAGGGAGGAAAACAGGTCCGCGACGTAGGAAGTGATGAAGGAAGTAGTCAAGGTGAGCTGTCCGGAGTGTGGGGACTGTTTATGACGATTAGATTAAGGTATTTGCAATTCTAAAATGCTATGGGAAAATAGGTCCGCGACGTAGGAAGTGGTGAAGGAAGTAGTCTAGGCGAGTTGTCCGGATTGTTTGAAATGTTTATGACAATTAGATTATGGTATCAGCAAACCTAAAATGCTACGGGAAGGGAGGAAAACAGGTCCGCAACGTAGGAAGTGATGAAGGAAGTAGTCAAGGTGAGCTGTCCGGAGTGTGGGAACTGTTTATGACGATTAGATTAAGGTATTTGCAATCCTAAAATGCTATGGGAAGGGAGGGAAACAGGTCCGCGACGTAGGAAGTGGTGAAGGAAGTAGTCAAGGCGAGTAGTCCGGAGTGTGGGAACTGTTTATGACGATTAGATTAAGATATCTGCAATCTTTAAATGCAATGGAATGGAGGGAAACAGATCCATGACGTAGGAAATTGTGTAGGATGTAGATGTGTGGATTTATGTATCTCCAATACTACGGTGCTTTCAGAGTGAACTAATGATTTTCCCCGAGCAAAGCTCGGTCCCCAGGTACTATAATCAAATGACGACACTAGCTTGAGGTTCGTGACGTATGAAGAGGTTAAGGAAGTAGTAAATGTGAACAGTCTGGAGTATGGAAACTGTTTATGACGATTAGATTAAGGTCTCTATATTCCTAAAATGCTACGGAAAGGGAGGGAAACAGGTCCGCGATGTGGGAAGTGGCGAAGGAAGTAGTAAAGGCGAGCTGTTCGGAGTGTGGGATCTGTTTATGACGATTAGATTCAGGTATCTGCAATCTTAAAATGCTATGGGAAGAGAGGGAAACAGATCCGCGACGTAGGAACAGGTGAAAGAAGTAGTAAGGTGAGCAGTACGGAGTGTGGGAACTGGAAACCGTTTGTAGCAGTTTTAATGTATCTGCAATGCTGATATGCTATGAGAAGGGATGGAAGCATGCCCAAGACATAGGAAATTGTGAAAGAAGTAGTAAAGTCTAGCAGTACGGACAGTGGGGATGTTTGTTGCAATTAGATTAACGTATCTAAAATACTAAAATGCTATGGAAAGCGATGAATACAGGTCCACGACGTAAGTGGTGAATGAAGTAGTAAAGGCTGGCAGTGCAGAGTGGGGAACCGTTTGAGCAGATGGATAAATGAATTTGCAATACTTAAATGCTATGAGAAAGGAAGGAAACAGGCCAATGACGTAGTAAATGGTGAAGGAAGTAGTAAGGCTAACAGCGCAGAGTGTGGGAACTGTCTTTGGCAATTACATTAATGTATCTGCAATCCTAAAATGCTATGGGAAGAGAGGGAAACAGGTCCACGACGTAGGGTGTGGTGAAGGAAGTAGTAAAGGTGAGCAGTGTTGAGTTTGGGAATGGATTAATGTATCTGCAATGCTAAAATGCTACGGGAAGAGACTGTAGACTGTAATATGTTAAAATGATTACGAAGCACAAATCGATACATATTTTCGATACATGCAATCGTTTACAATCGAAATTTACAACTGAGTTGACAACAGCTGATTTTTACTCCATAGAGGCTAAACACGATTTTTACTCCCTAAATATTAAAAATGCTACTTTAGACCCGCAGCGCATGCATGAAAAAATACTGTTTTTACTGCAGTAAGACAAAAACAATATAATATGAACCCTTGATGACTCCGCTCAATTTTGTGGATGCCTCTGCGAACGCCACCTAGTTTAATACACTTTGAATATAGCCTACTAGTACTTTTTTTCGTATAGTTCAACGTAAGCCGCACTCATTTTTATGCAAACTCTTAAATTAGACAAATTACCGGTATACATGTAATTAAATGAGAAAATTATTAATTTAGATTCATAAGAACATTGGTTACAAAACCATAATCATTGGCTAACAGTGAGGAATTTATTCAACTTTTGATGGGAGTTTTGGTTGTCTACGCAGTTCAACAAAGTGCTTTCTTGTCATCCCCCCAGCTGTTTTGTTTCGTTTCAGCAGAATAAGAAAAGAAAACAGAAAAGTTTGAAATATTTGAATGTTTGTTTTGATTAATGTATGTTTATTGTTTGTATAGGGTTTTGGTTTCGTTTAAGTGTTTTGGTTTTGAATTTTAAGTGTAACCACAGAGAAAACTGTGTAAGTAATTTGTGTGCTGCCGTGCCTATATTCCCTCATTAGCGTGTTTGTATTTATTTTATATCTTTAACTTATTTAAACTGGAAAAATATTATAATTCCTAACCTAAGTTACCTAGCCTATGTCATGTTATCTTAATTCAACTCATGTTAATCTTGTACCAAATTATAACTAAAATCAAAATTTATGATTTAAAACTTATCTGGATAGGAAAATCTGGGTACACTTCCATATCTGTTGGCACAAACAACCGAATGAGTTAGTTAATATTGATTATTCGATTGTTAATTTGATATATCGTTAACCTAACCTAACTAACCAAATGAGGTTGTTTGTATGCCATATGGAAGTGTACCCGAAAATCTTTCTAGGCCTACTCATTGATTTTCCATTGTCTTCTAGCCCTAGCAGACAACGGATTTGTTATCTAATATCAATTCTCGAGTAAAATCTTCAGCCTTGATAAAAATAATGAATTCTGATGTAGGAACAATTAAGTTAAACACAGCTAGGCCTTATTATAGGCTACCCGGTACTACTTTTATGACTGTATTTTTTACAAAGTTTTGATATAAGTTTGTTATGTCTAATCACATTTTTGGAATGAAAGAGTGACAAGTTTTCTTAATAACAGATAACTTAAGCTAGGAAGCATCCCCTAGGCCTAGCACCGCCTAAAAACCGCTTAAGTTAGGCTAAGACCAAACCTATAGGCGGTGTTTACTGGAGGCCAGTTGACAAAAACTTATGGGGCAGATTAATTTAATTTATCTGCCTCTAAGTTAGTGTAGATTAAGTTAAGTTTTATATTTCAAGTTCAATCTCTTGCATAGTCTAAATTATTTAGAGTTTCCCGAGGTACGTAATCTTCTTGTCAGCTGGATTAACTTAGTGTTAATGCGGCTTTGAAATCCCAATTGTTTTTCACAAAAACAATATTTGCTGGACTAAATTAAATTGAGTTTTACAGTCATCAGTTTCACGAAGTCTTTGAATCCCGTTAAGTTTATTGAGGCTGTAGCTGCTAAAATTAGTGCCTAAGTTGAGATGGGCCTTTTTAGAGGAGAATCCCTATATTCAATTTTTCATGTCTTATAAGTTAGTAGGTCTAACTTATAATATTTAATAATTTGAAATGGTGTCTAGGCAATTTCAGTTACAGTAGTTGGTTTGTTTGGTTGGTAGGACCAATGAATATAGAACGTTATAAGAAGCGACACCCCCGTGTTAAAAGAGGCAACGTTACGAAATTGCCGCTAGCAGTAGTTCCCGAAGACTTGGCTGGTAACTCTAGCGGTCCCCACATAAATCTTCTTGAACTACTGCTGGCGGAAATCTTTGTAGCTTCGCCTCTTTTAATATGGCGATTTCGCTTCTTAAGGTTATGTAACTTATTCATTGGTATGACTCTTCAGCTGGTCTCACTAGGCATATATACAACTAACTGCCAACGCTGACAGCAGCCAAACATAACCTAACCAAGACCAAGAACTTGTGTGTAAAACTTAGGGATGGGCCCTTTTGAGGACTCTCATGTCCTCTAAAAGGTATAATCTATAATAGTTTTAAATGGTGTAGGCTAGGCCTATGTAAGTTTGTTTGGTTGGTATGACTCTTAAAGTCAGCTGGTGTCACTAGGCCCTCTAACCATAGACAACTACCGGTAACGCTGACAGCCAAACATGACCTCTAAACTTTAACCGCGATTATCTCAAAACATCGGTTTTTGAGAAGTTAGGCCCATTTATTAGCTACAGCCTCAATTATAAAAGACCTAGTAATAATGCTTTGAATGTTGCAGTCATTTGTCTGACCACTCCCACTGCAATGGCGGCCTGCTGGGTAACACAATCCGTAACAACACACAGTGTCGTAGGAACAGCTGCACTGCCAACAGACTCAGTCCTCAGAGTCATAGCTCAAAAAGTCGACCTCCTTCAGGATGTTGTCACACACCACAGGTAGACTTGTTTGATCACAAAATGAGTTTAAGTTAGTAGCTTAGGGTTGGATACTATCCATGGTTTCAACACGATTGATGTAAAAAATAAAGAGTTGAGTTTAGAAGGACATTTGTATCAGTTCATTTAATCAGTCGTTAACTCAGTTAAGAATCTTTGTTAACTTACCTAGCCCATACACCATTTCGGGTATTAGGTACGGGTCTAGCACCAAAATCTCGGACTCATCTTGACTTTCAAGCTAGATGTAAGCTAATTTACCTATATTTTTAATATTAAAAGGATAAATACCTACTGTAGCCTAAATGACATTGTAAAATGGTTAGTTAAAAGTGTAAATTGTACAAAATGTATGAATAAGAACATACAAATAACCTCCTTAACCATACTAAAGTTTAAATCCCATTTTCTCTTTCAATAACTTTATAATGCAAAAGCAGCTGACCGTTTGGAGGATTTTAATATAGACATGCAAATTGATGATGAAAAATGTGTTAGGTTTAAAACTTTGTTTCAGTCTTTTGGGTACAATGCCATGATCAAGGAGTATACTCGAATAACACCAACTACAGCCACTGCATGCAGCTCTTGCTGTGTATCATTCTTATTTTATGTCTAGGTCTTCCTATGGTATTATCTCATGGGGCAGCTCCCCCATTACCAAGAATATTTTTATCTTACAAAAAATTGCCATTAGAATTTTAGCTGATACCAGACCACGTTCCTCTTGCCGCCCCCTTTTTATTGAGATGAAACTCTTGACAATTTATGCAGTTTATATTTTTCAACTGTGCATCTTTGTAAAAAGAAATTATAAGGAATTTATGTTGAAAAATTACACTCATCAATATAACACCCGACACAGGAATGATCTTCAATATCCTGTGCATAGAACAGCTCTGTATGAAGGATCGCCATGGTACATGGGTAGGAAAATTTACAATAACCTCCCAGATCAAATTAAAACTGATGAAAATATGTCATCCTTTAAAAGAAAACTAAAATCTTATCTCATTCTCTTGTGTCCTTATTCCCTAGATGATTTTATAAAAACTTAGCTTTAGGTTTTATGGATTGATAAAAACAAAGAATTTAGCATAAGGTATTATTAGATAGTAAAGTGGTATTGACATGTCATATGTTTATATGTGAAAATCACAATCTTGTAAACTTATGTGACGAATAAACATTTCATTTCATTTCATTTCGTTTTACTAAATGTATCATAATCACAGTGGAAGGGGAATGATTCCATGTCCAGTCTACTACTGTTACTACCTGAGGGCAAATTAAAAGCCTATGTCATCACAAATGAGTCCTTTGGCTGTATTGTTTCAAAAAGACATAACTTATTGTCAAACCTTATAACAATGAATGCTTGCAGGTTGCTTGGGTGGGAGGCAGTACAGCAGGTCCTCTCACCAGGCAGAGCTCTGTCAGCGGAGGAAGCTCTGGCAGTAATCAGCTGCTTCCACCACAGGTGCCTGCCATACAGATCATCAAGGTTTGTGAAAAAATAATCGAGCACATATCCCTCAAAGACCACCGCTAGGAAGACCAATTATCAATATGGACCACCAACTGAAACTGATATCTTATATTAGATATTAAGGCCCTATTTACCATATTACTGTATCTTCATCTTTTACCCAAAAGGGGTTGAAGGGGTCAGAATTTCAATTTTCACAACGAAGTACGTGTTAAAAATAAACATTTACAACTTTGGCATGTGTAATAAATTGGTTGAACTGTAAAGAAATTAACAAAATGTACTGTTAAAATATCCTTTAGAGAGTTAGTAAGCTCTAGACTTGATCAGATCAGAGGGACCAGCTTCTTCAAGAAATCTTGGGTCAAAACGCTTGATAGAGTTAAAAGTGGCTTATTATAAATGTTTATTGGGCCACTGTGTTGCAGCACCTTTTTTGGTCTTACAGCAATGTGCAATATTTATAAAAATATCAAGTAGGATCTTTAAGATGTTTTCCATGGCGGCTGACGAACTTCAATTTAGTTTTATGCAGTGCTGGTGACTAAAGTTACGGAAATTTTGCATGTGGATGGCGGTGTAACTAAACAAGAGATTGCTGAATTGATAGGGGAAGTTTTTAACCATGTTACTCTTTGCAAGTAATTCACAAGCGATTTTTTAAGGCATTATGGGCATTCTTTGAACTCCCTAAACTACTTTTAGTCACATCTATCAACTGGCTACAGATTTTTATTGAGGTCAGCCCTCTTTACATAGAAACCTAATAAATAACCAAACGTGATTCATACTTGGCAAGAGTTCATCAACAATTTGCAAGAAATTACAATTTTGAGTACTATTAATCAACCAATCAATCAATCAATCGAAATAACTTTATTCGTATTGCACATTGTGTACAGAATGGAGTCAGTTATAAAAATCTATGTTAAACTATGTTAAGACTACTTATCTCTTTCTTAGTTGGTGAGAATATTGTTATTATCAATAAAGCAAATTTCAGGAAATTGGTAAAATCTTCTAATTTATACAAGGGTCTGTTAGTGAGAAATAATTTCAAAAGTTTTTTAAATGAATTAAAATTAGTTACCTATATTTTTTATATTGTCAGATACGGTTAGCTATTGAAATATTTAACACCGCTATAAGATGGGATTTCTTTGTAACCCGATAAATTATGTCTGTTGAACGCCAATTCCCTACCTTTTCTGGTCGAATACTTATGAAAAGAGTTCAATTTTGGCAATCTTTCATGATTTGATTTAATATAAAGGGCTATTTGATAAATGTATAAGCTAAAAACAGTCATAATTCTTATTTCTATATAAAGTGCTCTTTAGCGGATTCTTTTGATTTTAGTGTTAACATGATGAGATTGCCTTTTTCTGAAGTTCATTCAGAATGCTATTTATTTTAAAATATTTATATAGATTTTTTGTGCTCCCATAAAGACACAACCCAAAAGAAATGTGTAATTCAATTAAGTAGCCTAATATACTACCTACTTTTAAGGGTTTTAAACTACTAAAATTTTGACATCTGTCTTAATGCATATATGCCTGAATTGACTTTTACACAAACGTTTTCAACATGACTGTCACAGTTGAAGTTATCATCTATAGCCTATGCAATCCAAGAAATTTTATTTTTTTAACTTCATTTAGTAAAATTATATCCATAACAATATTAAACTCAGGTGCATTTTTGCTCGTTAAAGAAAAATTTATATAATTAGTTTTCATTAAATTCGGTAATATATTGATTTCATTTAAACATTGGATACATTTGGTAAGCTCAACAAAAAAAGAGACTTCCATATCAGAATTTGAAATACCGGTTATTTTTATATTGATGTCATCAGCAAATAAACAAACACGATTGGGAGATTCTATCAATGGGGGAAAGTCAGTCAAGTAAATTAAGAATATAAGCGCCCCAATATTGATCCTTGAGGGACACCATACTTAACAGTTTTTGTTAAGGAAGTGTTAATAATTAATAATAGGTTATGGCTATTAATGTGATCAATTGTGACATACTACTGCCTGCCTGTAAGATATGATTCAAAGCAACGCCAAGCTCTCCTTTTTATACTGTTACATTCAAGTTTTTCAAGTACCAAATCATGTGAGACGCTATCAAAGGCTTTTGTTAAGTCCAAGAATATTCCAATTACTCTTTCATTTGAATCAATTGAATTAATTATAGATTCACAGAAATCAACTCATGCGTCAATCACAGACCTTCCTTCTCTAAAACATTGTTTTTTATCTATTAAATTATTTTCCTCAATGAATTTTGAAAGTTGTATATGCATAACTTGCTAAACATTTTTGGAAAATGGGCATAACAATAAGATAGACCTGTAATAATTACACATTTCCTCTGGGCTACCATTTCTATAACAAGGTTTAATTTTAGATATTTTAAATTTTTCGGGGAAAATTCCAGAGATAAAAGAAGAGTTAATAACATGTAGTTTAATGGTAATAATATATAAACGAGCCTCTTTAATTATTGGCATTGGTATTTCATCCTATCCAGTAGAAAATTTATTATCAAACAAAAGGAGTTATAAACTAAGCAATTGTTTAATAATTAATATTAGGCCCTAAACAGTTAGCTAATTTAAAATCAAACACCTTACAACAATTTAACTTTATTCCCCACATTCCAGACTGGCTCCGCCCACAATTCACACATGAGCGTCGCCTCAGGTAGAGATCTGAGCGTACAGAACCTCTCCGAGTGTTACGCTAAGCCACTCAACAAGCTGTCAGATCGTCCAGCCTCCCCAGCGCCTCTTCCACGGGTCAACAAGATACGAGAACCGACGGTTGAGCGATTACCCATGCCACTACCAGAGGAAGCCACTCAAACTGAGGACGATCTCTCACCCGGGCTGCGGAAAGTCTTCTTCTTCTTCGAGGAAAAGGGGTGCCTTAAGGATAGAGTGGACTATTCGCTCTATATATTTCCACCAGAACACCCGTGAGTATATTATTTGTACATAGCAAATTTCTTTTTTGTTTTACGATGAGTTTTGTGTGTTAATGTTTATTAATTATTGTGTGTTTTACCTGTTTTGAGGTTGGAATATTTTTTATATCTGTTAGTTAACATTGCATTATTAGCACTATGATTTTATTCGTAAAATTGTCATTGTACCCTATTTAGTTTGGCCTGCTTGGATCCAGACCTTTGGAAAGACCAAAAATAAAATAGCCTTGCAATTCAACAGTACTGCTAATAACTTTGTCGGTAGTCAGTTGAAGTTTACGCATACCCCAAAACTCCAGATTCACCTTTGTCAAGAGATTCTAAAATTTCCAGTCTCTCTGTTTTATTTTAATGAACGTTTTTGATTTCCACCCACCTAGAAACTATTTTTAGCAGCCACTGTTAAAGTAAAAAACTGAAGCCCATTAAATCAAAACTCAGGTTGACCAAAAACCATAATGAAAAATTCAAATCAATTGAAAACATAGCCCTTGAGGCGCTTTTGGGACTATCATGTGCTTTCAGCTCTAGTATGTTGTGCTGGAAATATACCTGTGATGAGCAAGGAAGAGCTTGAGCAGCAAGCGTTATGTGGAAAATCCTATCTCACGCGACACAGGGTCTTCCTCCACCGTGAGCGTTGTAGTACATGAGAGCGAGGAGGGTGGTGTTGGATTTTGCCCTGGACACCAGTGACTAGTGCTATTCACCACTTAAATTTACCATTGAGTGTTTCCTCTATATCTTAATTACTTCTCTGTGGAAATTGAGTTTTCTGAAAATATTCACTTCTTCCATTTGTATGCCTATTGTTGTTTGGTGGAGCTAATAACAATTTTGATTATTATAAGGAAAAGTTTATGTGTACATACAATTAATTATTTTAAGATAACAGTTGTTAAAACTGTAATCCATAGTCAGTCACTGTTATCCAACCTAACTTTTGTAGGTTCAAGATTTTGTCCCTATCATTGGTCTATCCTCTGTTGCAGTTTCCGTCAAGCGTGTTCCCAGTTTGTGGGCCAAAAGTGGTTTGACAACGCTGTGCTTCTGTTTATCGCTCTCAACTGTATCACACTGGCGATGGAGCGACCCAACATACCTCCCGACAGTCCAGAACGGCTGTTCCTCTCTACGGCCAACTATGTGTTTACTGTCGTCTTCGCTGTCGAGATGTTTGTTAAGGTGAGCCATCATTTATTAACCTACCATCGAAAATGTTTAAAAGCGACAAAAAAAGCTTTCAATAGTCAAAACAAAGGATTGAATACTTCCAAATTATTACGATTGTAATAATACAGAATTATTGCAGACATTTATATCACAATTCGTTAAAAACAATGTTTTTACAACATTTTGGAATCAGAAATCTGCCCCCATCATTCTTAGATGAGAAAGTTTCTATCAAGCTTAAACCAGCCAAAGATGGGAAATGGAAAATCACAAAATAAAAACAACACAGAAAACGTTTTAGGCCTACCTATCAAAACACAAACCAACCCGAAAGACACACAGTTTATTAATAAGCTACAACAAAAAGAGGAAAAGAAAGTACAATTAAATTGGTTTTCAAAATGGTGGACGGTATTGTTGCAAGGGGTCAGGTGTGGTCAAGTAGTCAGGTCTGAACTCATGAGGGGTTAACGTGTATATTGGCAGGGCTTATCTCCTCCAATAAGATAAGGAAAATCCTACTTAAATTAAGAAGTATTACATTGAATAGTTGACACATGCCAAAGCAAAGGGTTAAGTGATGATATTAAATTTTATATATTAGTCCGGTTGCCAAACCCTATATTTTTGGCTAACCCAAAAATTTTGGATTAAGTTTTTTTTTATTAATGGATAATTACTAGGACATGTAAAGCTTCAAGAAAATGCATGATGACATCCTGTCACCATTGGGCAATTCGAGATTCGGCCGCCATCTTGAATTTTTCCAAATATTGTTGTATTATTTATACATATGTAATATAGGGTTGTTGTATATCATTTTATATGTTTTTATATACGCTGAGTGCAATGGGAGCACTAAAAAGTATCTAGAAATAGCCATTTCTTAAAAACTGCCGCCATATTGAATTTTTCAAAATGTTTTTGGAATTTTTTATTTATTTGTAATATAGGGTTGTTGTATATCATTTTATATGTTTTTATGTAAGCTGAGTTCAATGGGAGCACTAAAAAGTATCTATAAATAGTAATTTCTTAAAAACCGCCGCCATCTTGAATTTTCCAAATGTTTTTGGATTATTTTTATGTTTGTTAGTGATGGGCCGATTCCGATTCTCGATTCCAAAATACTCTCGATTCCGCCGGAATCGAATCGAGCATTCGATTCGAATCTCCGTGGGTTTGGGATCGATTCCAACTGTCTTCGATTCTTTCATAAAATTGGTTAAAATCAGCCACAAACGTCATATAAAGCAACAAAGAAACAAAATAAATTCAGATTGCTAATGATTTGCTTGCAACTCTGAGCAAACAACAAGTTCTGGTCGTATCGTCACTAAGTCAGCGAGACTAGAGCGAGCGTATTGCAAATGAAATAATAGATGCGAACTCAATACAGAGGCTTAGTACAATGAGAAACAGTTAACCGATGGGAATTGGAGATTCGGGCAAACTGGACTGGAGCGAGTAAGCATTGCGTCACAGCTCACAAGACATACAAGGAAAGGATGAGCATCGATTTAGATCAACCAGCGGTACCAAGGCTACTAACCACGAATACTAGAAAAGTAGAAAAATACTGGTATGGATCATAAACATAAACAAATGACATTTTTGGCCCGAAAATAAACATTATTAATTTCACATTGCTTAAATGGAACTGCCAAACCCAAAACATATGTTCAATGCTATTCGTATAGGATTCGGGCCAACGACGTCATTTGTTTATGTTCATGATCCATACCGGTATTTTTCTAGTATTCGTGCTACTAACTGAAGCATTGCATCGGTATCCTCATTAAAACTGTGTGTTTCGTTCTAATAATGTTTGGGTTTTAATAAGTAATTTCTAAAAACCTTTAAAATTATTTTTAAAATCAGTTTTGTTCACGTTGAGTGGTAATTGTAAACTTGTAGGCCTATAAGCTCTAGGCCTATATTTAAAAGTAAAAGTCATTGTTAAAAATGTTTGAAAAAATGTGCTGTAGGTTTAATTTTACGGTTTACGTTCATTCGTTTTCTTTCACTGTTATTGTATTATTATTATTATTATTGTGTTTATCCTCATTAAAATTGTGTGTTTCGTTCTAATAATGTTTGGGTTTTATTTAATAATTAATTTCTAAAAACCTTTTTGTCATCCTGAACCATGGTATTCGGAATCGAACCCGGAATCGAGAATCGAATCCCAAATTTCAGAATCGGAATCGGAATCGAATAATTTTGGAATCGACCCATCACTAGTTGTTGTATATCATTATATATGTTTCTCAGTACACTGAATTCAATGGAAGCACTAAAAAGTATCTAGATATAATCATTTCTTAGCTACCACTGCCATTTTGAATTTTTCAAAATAATTTAGGATTATTTATATATTTGTAATACAGGGTTGTTGTAAAGCATTTTATATGTTTTTATGTACGCTGAGTTCAATGGAAGCACAAAAAAGTATCTAGAAATAGTCATTTCTAGAAATGACCATCGGCTGCGTGGAATATCCACTAAGAGTGCAGGTAGCACGACCCGCCACTTGTAGGGGGGGGGGGGGGGGAGAGAAGGGGTTGGTCTCTGGCACCACCGGCCATTTCGTAGTCAGTCCGTCACTGGTCGACTTTTTGAGAGGTAAGTGACCTTTAGATTATAGCAGCCTTATCCTTTTAACCTACATTACCATTAAGCGTTACTCAACTCTGTTATATATTCCGTTATGTTCCTAGGGGTCTATTACTCCGTTAGTGGTTTGTGTTGTTATTTAAAGATTATTCCCAATTTGTTATTTTATGAGACATGTGGAGTAAGGTTAGGTTGGCCCGGCCACGTTCCGAGCAGTGCTGTTCCGTGCAGTGCTGCTATCTGGGGGAGTTTTAGCGAACTACGTCGACTCTCGTCGTAATGCTGTACATAACCGTATGTTATTTGCTATTCGTCAGACCGAAATGTGAAAGCCATTCGCCCGGTAATCAGGTTTGTTCGACGCTGTGCCGTAACATTGTGCTTGATAACAGTGGTATACACAGTGGTGTATGGAACAGAGGAAAATACTCTGATTTACATTAATTATCAGGTTGTTTTAAATGTGAAATCATCACACATATATATATACGGGTAAATCATTTATATAAAACCACTGTAAAAAATACATTAAATTATTTGCTATAAAATACATCAATCGAATTACCGAAATATTTTAAGGACACTGAAACCTAATGTCGTTTTTGGGTTACAGATTAGGATGTGGCCTCATGGTAAAAAATGGGAGAAGGAAAGTGTTTTTTTGAATGGAAATTCAACTGCAGTGGACGCAGTGAACCTCTTTCAACTGCTGGTGCCCAGCGAATAAAGACTATTATACAATGTAGTATACAATACGGTGATGGAAAATGTATTGAATTGGAGAAGAAAATACAAAATGATCAAGACTTTATCATACAGTGCCATAGAAAATTGTGTATCTACCTACACTTCTAAAACACACTTGAAAAGAGCAAAACTGCCAACTGGAGATGATTCAGAAGCAAGTTCCTCTCATCCAAAGCTACGACGCCAGTCAAAAACTGAGTTTGAATTTCAGAAACACTGCCTTTTTTGTGGAGAAAACTGTAATTTAAAGAAGGACCCGAAACACCCTGACAGATGGAGAGCAGCATATAAGTTTCGCCAATTAGAAACAAAGAGTAAATCAGTGAAAGAGTTAATTATTGAAACATGTGATGCTAGGAACGATACATTAGCTTCAGAAGTTCGACTTTGACTGTCTGGTGTAGTTAGTGACTTACACGCTGCTGACGCAATGTACCATGTTGATTGTCGAAATAAATTTATGAGTACAAAAAATGTTGAAGAAGCAAACCGGAAGAATGAAGAGGAAGAATCAGTAGATATCCCATTCAACGAAACTGTGAGAGCATTTGTAGCAGATAGAGAACGTATGTGGAACTCTGTCGAAGTACACAAACTGTATACGGATTATGGAGGATGTCTGTATAACAGGTCAAGTTTGATCAAAGCTCTAAAAGAGCACTTCAGCGATCTAGTGGTACTCTCTGCACCAGGTTATGCTCATATCATCACTTTCCCAAACAAAGCAGCATCTATTTTAAGATTATGCCCTGATAATGGAGATGACGAACTTAATGCTGCTATTACTAAGGTGGCCAAACAAATAACACGTGAAATTGCAGGACTCAAAAACAATAATAAAGAAAGATACAACTTGCACTTAAGTCAAGACAACGTTGAAGAACATGCCAGCATTACCCTAATGCGCTTGTGTAGAGCACTATCAACAAAACTGGATAAAACTCCACCAGCTTTGCTTATTGGAAGTATAGTGTCAGCAACTCTATCTAATACAGCTACGAACCTTCAAATAGCTCTAGGTGTAAAGTTTCGCTATTCCAAGTTAGCGGTAAACCTATTGAATAAATTCCAGGTGTCATGTACTTACGATGAAGTCCTACGCTTCAAGAAGTCAGCAGCTCATGAAGTATCAAGGAAGTGTGATTTGTCTGGAATTTCAACTGATAATAGCAGCGAAACCTTTACTCAAATTGTGGCTGACAATTTTGATACGGAGATATCATCCCAAAACGGAAAAATGTCTACACATTCACTAGCTGTTCTAATTGCCCAAACTAAACCGTTAACCAGTAATGCCGAAAGTGTTAGCATTACTTCAATCACTAATACTCCCACCATCAAAAGATTGAAAAAGAAAGAAATGCAGCTTGATATAGACTATCAGACACCCATAGAAAGATACCATGGACCAGAGAAGCCACCAATGCCTAAACATTTATCATTGCGATCACCTTTGTCGTTAAAGCTGTTGTGTCGTACTGTCCTATCAATTAAAAGAACTAATGAGATCGATTTAAAGTTTTTGAAAGACATTGTGAGTGACCAACATTGCCCAGAGTTCAATGGCTACAATACGAAACTCAACCGTGAAAGTGGTGCTCAGCTGAAACCTGCAACAACCGCAGTGTACAGGCCTTTGATTGACATGA